CTCACGCAATCCAACTATCTCCACATGCTATCATTAGTCAGCCCCATCTTAATTCCCAACGTCTCTGATCAGTCACAGCAGACGTTAATAGTCATGCACCATTGCATTCCATCGCGACCATGTCCGAATGACTCCATGGCCGTATCCGACCTGTCGCTGTGGGTATGTGTATGATCAGCATTGAGACGTGTGATGGTGCTGCAGAGTCCTTATGCAGGTGCGCGCGCTTACATGCAGGCCTGGGACAGGGCATTTCAGCGCTGAGGAGACCCTAACGCCAAGCCGCGCCAGAGGCAGGCTGTACTCAATTGTCCCTCCCGCAGCAATCGCAATGTGAACCTGCAAGTCCACATCCTCTCCCTCTCCATTGATCCCAGGCTTCTCCTTCACTTCCCCCACCCGTTCACCAAGCAAAGTAACAACTCCAATACTGATTGATCCACCACATTACATCAATCAACATGCCGCTTCGCGAGACGGACCCGGATTTCGAGAGCGACATCTTGGAAAAGGTCACGGCAGACGTCGAGGCCACCCGCAATCTCGAGTTTGCGGTTTCCGAGTATCATCTGCCGCTGCCGCTCCTCCTCGTTGACGAACTTGCGGAGAAGCCATTGCCGTGCCATGAACCTGCCGACGAGACCCTCGCCATCAGCGCCCACTTGTCGGTGCGCATTCGCGCCTTTTACAACCAGATTGCCGCCGCCTACAACCGGGTCGAGGATCCGCCAGCCAGCCTCGGCCTCAAGATCGAAATCCAGCCGCAGAATTTCGACCCAGAGGAGCCGGAATGCTACCATCGCAGATATCATTCACGTCGCCTGCAGCTGCACAACCCAGAGACACTGCCCGACCTGCCCTTTGTGAGCCGCCTGATCATCAAGTCAAGGGCGTACGGCTCTGGTGCCGAAGACGCGACAGACATACGCCCTTTGTCTCCCCTCGTGCCGCTGCAGTGCCTCGTCCACCTACCAGCTGTCCAAGAATGGACTATCCCCTGGTTCTGGGAGCGGCCCATGCCTGCCTGCATGCCCAGTAGGGTGATGCGCGAGCACTACACATGGCCGTGGGAGGGCCCCCTGCGAGACGCCCGCCACGAGTTCGGCGCCGCCATCATGGACCAGGAGAAGCACCTCTGCGGAAGAAGAATCCCGGCCGGTCTGACCAGGGCCGCGCTGCACTTCTGGCCATTCTTCTCTCGCCCCAACAATGACCAGTCCGTGGCCCGGCCGAATCTGATCCATCCGGCGGACAAAGATCCTGTGTCTGTCGGCCTGTGCAAGCTCGGTGCTCAGCTCAGCCTATTCGATATCCGTGCTATGATCACTCCGGACCTGTTCCCTAGTCCCGAGGTACCAGCCCACCAGCAGTGGTCACAGATACGGCGGTTCCGGCTCGAGTTCCACTCCCTTCGCTCAGACGGGCGGTGGTACTTTGTCGGCCCTGGTGGCGAGGACCCGCACGACTCTGAAGAAGGAGGGTACACGATCTCAGACGAACATTACCCTCTCGAAATAGACACGGAGGAGGATGTTGAACTCGACGATGAGTACAGCGACAATCCGGACGACGAATATGACTACCGTCTAGACATGTTCCGCACCGAGCCCTGCAGGCAGCGGCTGGAGCCCCTGCTTGCGGCGTTTGCCAAGTCTCTGACTACCCCTAACATGCCGCGCCTCGAGGACGCCGAGATGCTCACATACCTGTGGTGGGACCCTTCAAACGACAGAGACAGTGAGAAATATGGCTTGCCGATGAAAAAGGGTCACAGATGGGGTGTAAAATTCATTGCCGGCCGCAGCGATGAGAAGGACAAGAAGGACAGCGATGCCGCTGCAGCAGCCCCAACACCACCGGTGGTGCAGTGGCAGGTTGGCGACTGGAGGCCCAGCGACGAGGTCATGAGTCTGTTCGAAAACCTGGGACGGCAGGAGTGGCTCAATCTCGAATGGGACAAGTATCGATCTACCGCAGGGCGCGATTTGCTGGGAAATAGCACGTCGAACCCAATTTAGTCCGGCGGCGACAACCGGGATCCTTCACTCGGTATTCCAAACAAGAAGTCTGACACCTTTTTCAAAATTGCAACATCAATTTCCCGTACAACAGCAGCTGGTGAGTCAGGTCGAGCAGAGTTGGCAGACAACGCAACAACACAGGCACACACAGCCGACGCGGCCGAAACGGCTCGTTTATCGTTCCATCCCCAATGGGGATGTCTTTGCACAACCGCGACAGCGGCCTCCCAGGTGAACACCGGGCACTTTGAGACAGGACTTTTCATGTACCATCAAAATGAATGAGAGACACCTTCAGTTGCGAAACAAGTTACAAGATCATCTACTGTACACCACTCTCTCCTCTCCGCTCCCGAGCTATGGGTTTCCCACCTCCGTAGAGTCAAGCCATTTCACAGATTCTAACGGCGGCTTCTAGCTGGAAACCCCAACACAATACGCCTGGCCAAGCCAAAAGTTTGTCACGCAATCCCTTGAAACGGCAGGGTTCCAGGCATAAAACTGATCCAGGGTGATGCCATTATCGCTGGCCATGGAAGCGCAGCCGTCGCCGTCTACCACGACGTCCCACTTGTTACAATTAGCAGGCTGGCCGGTATGTGTCGGTGCAGGTGGTGTCGGCTTCGCTGTGGTTGATGCTGGTGGCGTCGTGGTAGGGGTACCCCCGACACTAGATCGGCCGACGCAGTATGCCTGCCCCAACCAAAAGTTTGTCACACAGTCCTTGGATACCGCCGGGTTCCAAGCATAGAACTGGTCGACCGTGATACCGTTGTCCGCGGTCATGGACCCGCAGCTGTCGCCGTCTACCACGACGTCCCACTTGTTGCAATCCGACGGCTGGCCTGTGTGGGTTGGTGCGGGAGGGGTCGGGGCTGCCGTCGTGGAAGGCCTGGTTGACGATGGGGTTGTTGTGGCGCCAGAACCAGCCCCAGAAACGCCGACACAGTATGCCTGCCCCAGCCAGAAGTTGGTGATACAGTCCTTAGAGACAGCAGGGTTCCAGGCAAAGAACTGCTCAACTGATATGCCGTTATCACTGGCCAGAGAACCACAGCTATCGCCTTCCATCACTACGTCCCATTTGTTGCAGTCTGCGGGTTGGCCGGTATGCGTGGGGGCCGGAGCAGTGGGCTTCGTCGTCGTCGGCGCCGTGGTTGAAGCAGACTGCGAGGCCGTGGTGCTGATACCCTGGCCCTCCCTATGCGTGCAGTAGGCCTGTCCGAGCCAGAAATTCTCTGTACAGTCTGCGCTCACAGCCGGGTTCCATTCGAAGAAAGTGGCGAGAGAGATCCCGGCGTTATCAGCGACGGACTGGCACGAGTCACTGCTGACCACGACGTGCCAGCCGTCACAGTCTTCCGGCTGGCCTTCGTGCGTCGGCGCTGGCGGCTGCGGTCCGGTCTCGGTGGGCTCAGGCTCCTCAGTGGTGGTGGTTTGCGTGGGCGGCAGACCCCAGGAGCCGCAATACCGCAGGCCGACCTGGAACACGCACGCCGGGTCAGTGACGTTTGTCGTGAGCGAGTTCCAGGCGATGAAGCTGTTAAAGTCGACGTTGTAGTTGGACGCTGCAATCTCACAGTTGCTGTTCCAATAGCCGAACACGTCAGACGAGTACTGATAGTCATCGCCCTTGAAGTAAAACACACAATCGTCGCGGACGCCGGTAGCCAACGGGAGCTGGGTCAGTCTTGGATCCAAGGTCATGGTGGCGTTGGGCAACATGGTGAAGGGTACCCCGGTGAAGGACTCGTTGGGGTCAATGGTGACGGAGGCATATCCGGGTCGGCCGGGATAGTTGTTGATGTCTCCGACCGCCTGGACGCAGTAGCTCTCCTGTGCAAAGAGGTTGGTGCAGTTGGCATTGATGCCTGTATTCAGGAACATGAAATCATCAAGAGATATAGCAAACTTGAGAGTCACCAGGTTGCAGTAGTCGCCAGCCTCGACCTCGTACCAGCGGCCGCAGGGCTTGTCAGATCCGATGGCCGTGTTGGAGGGGATCGGGGCAGCACTGGTGGGCGTCACCGGAGGAACATTCGTCGTCTGAGCGGGTGGAAGCTTGGGTCCGGGTGGTTCGATGCAAAGCGTGGTGCCGTTCATCATGTTGAGGTTGGAGCAGACCGGGTTGATGACGGGGTTCCAAGCCATCAGCTGTGGCTCTGTGATGTTCGCAGCTGCAGCGATGGCTGAGCAGGTCGTGTTGACTGCCACCGTGACAGTCTTACACGTGTTGGTGATGCAGAGACTACCCGAAGTCGGGAACTCGAAACAATAAGCACCGAGGTGGTTGTCAGACAGCATCCACGCCGTACCGACACTCTGGGCCTTGGAAATGCTGTAGCAATCGTCACCGCCCTGGATCTGGTACATGGTGCCGTCGCAGACTGACTCGGTGGGCTGCGGCTCGCTTGTGAAGTAGTCAATGGTGGATGTGGTGGCAGGCTTGCCCGTGATGCCACAGCTGGACGTCAGGGTTTGGTAGATGGACTCGCTGGCCACGACGGGGCCGTCAAAGTAGGGCGACCCAGATCGTAGGCGCAGTCTGGCTGCGAGACACGGGTCACAATCCGCAGGCTTGACAGCGCCCTCGGGAAGTACGTTGATGTAGTTAAAGGCGGAAACTGACGAGCTGTTAGTGAAATGCGCTGGCAAGCCTAGAATTACGCAACATATCATGTCCGCGGGAGACTCACCTCCAGGATTGGTGAAGAAAGCTGCTAATGCGGCTACGGGGCCGCAGAAGGCATCGTTCTCTTTGAGACACGTGAAGCCATAGGTGTACCGGCGGCTGGCAGGGATCACAATGGGTGATGCGTCGAGGTCATCCTCGGCAGGAATGACAATGTCGTTGCCGCAAGCAGACCGGACCGAGCTCTCCCACGACTGCAGCGCAGAAGCACAGCCATCGGTGCACATACGGGTCAGGGTGGCAGGCGGGTAGTAGAAGTCATGACGGAGGGCTGGTACGAGCGGATCACAAGCGACATCAGCCATGAGGGCTGCAGAACATGCCGCATCCAGATCTTCAGGAAGACTGTCGTCGTAGAGCATCTTGACGGCGGAGACTGGGCTGGGGCTCGGGCTCAGAAGAACACCGAGTCCAAGGACACAACGCCTGAAGGTAGCCATGAGTCTTGATGGATCGTGTCTTCCTCTCTCTCTCACCAGGAGTTGAAAGAGTGAATCGTGAGTTGATGAGACTGAGACGTCCAAACAAGGGAGGAAGGCAGAGTTGGGTTTACCCAGACACGGATAAGGGGCAATGAGCGACAGCCAGAGTGATAAGTATGTCGGAAAGTGTCAATGAATCCAGAGAAAGCAACGGAGGTGTACAACAGTTGCCCATGTCCGATGGGGAATTTGGATCAAGGGAGTCCAGGCGATCCAACTTGTCGTCGTCCTGTTCGAGACACAACGAGATACAACCGCCCTATGCAAGAGAACGGGTCACAAGAGTCTTTTTCCAACTTGTCAAGGATTATCAGTCCAGGCTTGACCCGAGTGCATCCTTGGATATAGAAGTATTTAGGTAGTACAGGTACGGAACTCACCATCGCCTGCCTTAAACGGAAATGATGCTGGTGATTAGGTGAGATTTTGATGCGATGTCACGTCTTGGCGTACAGAAGCTTGTTCACATTGTAGAACCAACAATCAAGGGAGATAAACAGATGCAAACCCGGTGACCTTCTGGCCGAGACATGGGCCCAATATTGCTTACATGCATGGTTCCTGCAGGGGGCTGATGGAGCGGCCCGCCCGCTTTTTAGTACACCGAACCTTCAGCAGTATGCACGAAATCACGATATCACACTTGAAATCCCACGCTGATCGGACCCGCTCTACATAAGAGGCAAAGATGGGAGAGTATTTCCGAGCGGCTGATCGGAAAAACAGGACGATGGTATTCTGACATCGACATCCATGAGACCCCTATTTGCATTGCCAAGACCCTGCATGCCAAATTAAGTACGGAGCAGGTTACCCTTGTGAGCCACCAAGATAGTCGAGAACTCGCTGCCTGGGCTTAGTTTGACTTTCAGAGTACATGCAGGGCAAGTGGATTTAGGATTCGCGTGGAGATTGTGACTGAAACTGGGGCAGTGTGTGTTGCTCTAGAACACCGTTCGAGCTGTTTTGTCAGACGAGACACTCTGTGCGAATTACTCGGTATGTCTTCCCAGTCTGTTTTCCTTTAAAGATGTTTCGGCTAGCTGACTTTGTTCGTCATCTTTGCGAATGGATCTCCTTTTGTTTCGTTCTTTATCAAGTCTTTGATCACTCCTCTCTCTCTCATCGGGGACCACATTCCTTCGAGTAACGTCCTTTGTTGCTGGGTAGAGCTCCTAAAGGCTCAGATCTAAGCGCGACCATGCGACAATGGTCCCCGCTCTCGTGGAGCTGTCTGCTCCTGTCTGCTTTCATTAACCCCTCTCTTGGAGCAGTCATCACAGCAAGATCTGGTAGTGCCAGCGTGGATGCAGTTCCCGACCTACCCGACTCGTGCCGCGCTGTTGTCTCGTAAGTAAACCCCCCTTATTCTATGTTCAATGACCTGGACTAGTATTAGAGCATCATATCCTGACTCGCTATGAACGATATTTCAGACCCTTTGATTACTCGGCCAAAAACCGACGTGACCATGTGTTGCCAGTCTGCAGTGCTGACAGCTCTGGTCCAGTCGCTCCTCGCGACAATAGCCATGTCGTTGACGCTGACGAAAGTGAAATCGTTCCTCTTGCGTTACTCGAGACTGGCGTGTCTTCGCTAGTAGGACGCACCGAGCTATCCTCCCTGTTTGGGAGACAGGTAGTCGGCGGAGATGACTATACCTGCGGCCCCGACCGCCCTTGCAAGAACAAAGCTTGCTGTCCAAAGAAGACTGGCCAGTGCAACTATGGCGAGGAGTAGGTACCCTCATCCCCGCATGCTCTTGAATAGAGGCTAATCATTTCTTCTCTTCACGCAACAGAGCCTGCGGCACATCTGGCATCTCTCCTAATGAGGTGTGCTGGTCCAATTGCGATGCTAAGGCAGAATGCGGCAAGAACGCCGCCGTCCCTGGCCAGAAGTGTCCCCTGAACGTCTGCTGTGGCAAGTGGGGTTTCTGCGGAATGACAAAGTATGTACAGATTCAGCGTAATGAAGATGCCTACAGAGAAGAGAAGTGTTGACGATTGTGAAATAAAGGGATTTCTGCGACAAGGAAGACCATGGAGCGACTGGCGGTTGCCAGTCTAACTGTGACCAGCCAGGTCCCAAGGACAAGGCGTCGGACCAGCTCAACCGTGTCATTGGATATTACGAGGCATGGAGACACGACTCCAAGTGTCAGGATATGGTAAGCTTACTTGACCACTCCTTCGCAACGTACCTGTTTTACTAAGCGTGACATACAGGGCCTGAAAGACATCCCTGTCAACTCCCTGACCCATCTCTACTTCTCTTTTGCCTTCATCATGCCGGACTTACAGATCGTCGGGATGGATAACCTGCCGGATAAGCTGTTTACAGACTTCACCGACCTCAAGAAGAAGAACCCAGCCCTCAAGATGATTATCGCAATTGGTGGGTGGACACACAACGATCCGGGCCCTTTACAAAAGGTGTTTAGCAACATGGTCAGCACCAAAGCGAACCGGTCCAAGTTCATTGGCAACCTCATGTCCTTCCTTCGTATGTACGCCTTTGACGGTGTAGACTTTGACTGGGAATACCCTGGCGCGGATGATCGCGGTGGTGTCCCCGAAGACGGCGAGAACTTTACTCAGTTCCTCAAGAAGCTCCAGGAGGAGATCAAGAAGCAGCCCGTCAAGTACATTGTGTCCTACACGGCGCCGACGAGCTTCTGGTACTTGCGCCACTTTGACCTAAAGTCAGTTGACTATACTGATTTTGTCAACGTCATGTCATATGAGTAAGTCTGACGACAACTTTTGTTCTCGGACCTCAACTAACCACATGTCTCTAGTCTTCACGGAGTCTGGGATCGTGATAACCCGATCGGGTCTCACATCTACGGCCACACCAACCTGACCGAGATGAGCCTGGCGTTTGACCTCTTCTGGAGAAACAACGTCCCGGCCAAGAAGCTGAACATGGGACTCGGCTTCTACGGTCGCGCGTTCCAGCTGGCTGATCCGTCTTGCAACAAGCCCGGGTGTCTCTTCAAGGGAGGCGCCACCAAAGGAGCGTGCAGTGGCGAGTCTGGAATCCTCAGCTACCGCGAGATCCAGGAGGTCATCAAAGTTAACAAGATCAAGCCTGTCCACGACAAGGAAGCCGGTGTCAAGTACATCACCTGGAACACCGACCAGTGGGTGTCGTTTGACGACAAGGAGACGTTCAAACAGAAAAAGGACCTCGCGGCCAAGCTCGGTCTCGGCGGCTATCTCATCTGGGCCATCGACCAAGACGACGCCGAGATGTCTGCGTTGGCTGTCGTCCTGGACCCCAAGCCCCTGGGCGACTTCAAGTCGATCGATAAGGGCGACGAGAATTGGACGGGCACCAACGAAATGTGCTACGTTTCCAGCTGCGGCATTGAAGACTGCAAGGCGGGCGAGATCAAAATCACCGACCAGAAATGCGGCGATGACAAGAAGAGCACCCTCTGCTGCCCCTTGTCGGGCGCCCCTGACCCCAAGTCGTGCACCTGGCGAGGCGGCGAGACAAGATGGTGCAATGGCTACTGCAAAGACGACGAGGTCATGACGCACATGAGCAAGTACGGCGGCGGCCACGACTGCTGGGACGGCCAGATGGCGCACTGCTGCAAGAGCTCCCTCGGCGAGAAGAACATCTGCAAGTGGCGCGGCGTCGGCGAGCAGTGCCACAGCGGCGAGCTGCCTCTAACCTTCTCCGGAACCGTCCTCGACATCCTCGACGACGTCGCCAAGATCATCCTGCGGGTGGTCGGCCGCGCGTACCCGCTCGCTGCCCTCACTGGTCTGGTCCTGCTCGAGGTTCTCGACGAGCTGGACCTCGACACGCGGAAGCTGTACTGCTGCCCCGAGAAGGAGGTTGAGAAGTGGAAGAACTGCGCCTGGTACGGCAAGCCGGGCAACTGCTTCGACGGTCACTGTCCGGACATGAAGACGGTGCAGATCACCGACTCGTACTTTGGCGGCAGCGACAACTGCGGCATCCACACGACGCGCGTCCGCACGTTCTGCTGCGAGTCGGACGGCGAGCCCCTTTTCCTGCCCGTGGACCTCAAGAACCTGTTTGAGCACCCGCCCGAGGGCGGTTCCGATACGGACTTTACGCTTGAGACGGACAAGACGTCGGCCGACGGCGACAACGACCCGAACGAGGCCGCGTTCCAGTTCGTGGTGCTCGTCTCGCCCGAGGCGCTCCAGATCTCGCTTGACAAGCGCGACGGATCCCACTGGGACGTCTTTGACTGCCACGACTCCATCTCCGAGGGCGAGCATACCGTTCGCATGGTCTGCAACGACCACACACCAGACAGCAACTGTCACAAGATCGGCCTTGGCCACGGCGTCCCGGGAACCATCCTCCAGATGCCCAGAGGCTGTGGCCCGGGCAAGTATGCCGTCGCCAAGAGTATGGCGCCGGCACCTAGCAGAGACCACGCCAAGCTGCTGCCCCGTCACTTGTCTCATCTCGCCGGCCTCGAGCCTGTCGTCTACGACTTGACGTTCGACTACGACTTCAGCCGCGTGCCGCGCGATCTCGGCAACACCCAGATGCGCATCGACTACAGTAATCAGGACGACTACTGGGACAACATTGTCGCCGGGTCCGTCAGCCGGAAGCGAGACGTACACGGGAACGAGAGGCTCGCCAGGCGGACGCTTCAAGATGTCGGCGGGAACCCGGTGCGCTGGCTCGAGGAAGAGTTCCGCGACGACTTCCACCTTGACAAGATTGCCTCGCGGGACCTGCACGAGCGGTGGTTCGGCAAGAGCATCCTCGAGTGGCTGGCGGCCCTCGTCAAGCCTGAGATCAAGCGCGAGTTCACGCACAAGTACGACGACAGCGTAACTGCAAAGTTGTTTGACGAGTCGTGGGACTGCCCTGGCTCG